GCGGAGTCATTATCAGCATGTTTGTTACTTTGATTCAGAGGCTGGGATAAAGCGCCATTATCAAAGGACTGCATGTTCCCAGTCTGATCACTATAGGCCTGGGCAGCATCCCTGGAGGCCACAAATTTACTGGACAGGAACAAAAGGACCATTGTTGTGTGGATAAAACACTTAGAAAGTAGATTTTTCTTTGCTGTCGCTGTAAAGCAGGAATACGATTTTTTTTTCCATTTTTCAGAGCACTTTCATGTCTGAGGGTTGTGCAGGCAACACTGTCTACTCAGGTCCAGGGCTAACTGCCACAGAAATTGGGGAAAGGGGCCTATATCGTTTATCAAGTGTCCAAAGCTCTCCTGAAAACTCTGGATGATGGATGGAGAGACTCAGACAAAGGTAATGGGATGTGCAGTTCCCAAGCTAATGCCAACAATCCCTGGAAGGTCTCACTCATCACAATTGGTTTGACAGGGCTTCAGTCCCTGGAGGTTTCAGTCTGTGATGGCCCCTAGGTGGAAACCAACCGAGCTTGTGAAATAAGGCCAATCTGTTCCCAGCCCTCACACCACCTTGCTACCCCTTTCTTTCTTTTTTGGTTTGGTACTGGGGATTGAACCCAGGGGTGATTTACTACTGAAGTGCACCCCAAACCCTTTTTACTTTTTAATTGCAATAGAGTCTCACTAAATTGCTTAGGGCCTAGCTTAATTTGCTGAGGTTGGCCTTGAACTTGTGATCCTCCTGCTTTAGCTTCCAGAGTTGCTGGGATTACAGGCCTGCTCCACCATACCCAGCTGAAATAAGAGATTTCTATGGTAGCCGCGGTATATTCATAGAGCTATGGGAGAAATTTGGATATGTTTTTTCATGGGTTTTGTGTTTGTGTGTGTATGTGAATTCCACTCCTAGGTATATATCCAAGAGAAATGAAAACATGTGTCCACATAAACACTTGTAAAAGAATCCTTGTAATAGCAACATTAATCAAAACAGCCAAACGAGGAAAACAACTCAAAATCTTCGGTTGATGAACAGATAAACAAAATGAGGTATATCTATACAATGAAATATTGTTTGGCCATGAAAAAGAATGAGGTACTGACCTGCTGTGACCTGGATGAACCTTGAAAATATTGTGCTAAATCAAAAGACCATGCTGTGTGAGTTCCTTTATCTGAAATGTCCAGAACATGCAAATCTATAGACACAGAAAACAAATGAGTGGCTGGAGATGAGAAAGGTGGGTAGTAGAGGGTGTGGTACTAATGGGCAAGGAGTTTCTCTTTGAGGTGATAAAGAATTCTACAATTGACTGTGGTGAAGGTTGTACATATCTGAGAATATACTAAAAATCAATTGTATATTTAAAGTGGGTGAATTGTATGTCATTCAAATTACATCTTTTTAATTACAAGTGGACACAATACCTTATTTTATCTATTTATTTTTATGTGGTGCTGAGGATCGAACCCAGTGCCTCACACATGCTAGGCAAGCGTTCTGCCACTGAGCTACAGCCCCAGCCCTACAAATTACATCTTAATCTTAATCAAGCTTTTTTTTTTTTTTTTTTTTTAAAGGAAGTTTCAAGCCAGGTGCAGTGGTACATGCCTGTAATCCCAGCAACTCTGGAGGCTGAGACAGGAGGATTTCAAGTTCCAGGCCAGCCTCAGCAATTTAGTGAAGCCCTCAGTAACTTAGCAAGACCCTGTTTCAAAAAAATTTTTTAAAGGGCTGGGGATATGGCTCAGTGGTTCAATTCACAGGACAAAAAAAAAGAGAAGGAGAAGAAGAAAATAAAGAGCACTTAATATAATTTCCTGAGTTTTCTAAAAATATAAAAACTATTCTCATAATAACCCAGGTCTCTGTTTCTGTCTTTATCTTTAGGAGTGACATGTTTGTAGCCCCTGTACCTGTCAGGTCTTGTAGGGTAGAGGGGCCCCTAACAGTCCACCTCTTGCCCAGCCCAAAAAGAGTTCAAAGAATGGTGGGGTGGGATGACCGGTGAATCACAAACCAGGGGCCTCCACATCTAGCACCTGCCCTGCCCACCCCAGTGTGGTGACAAGTGGACAGTTAGGACTCACCTCAGACCAAGGAGAGGGAAAATAAGTCTCCCCGAGAGAAGACCATCAGATGAAAATATTTTCAGAAGATTGTTAAAAGTTGCACAAATACATTTACTTAAATTTAACTTTAAATGACAAAGCAACTGAAAAGTCTTCAAAAATGAAATTTTGGCATGATGGTTTTGCTTGTATGTCTTGCCACCCCCTCACAAAACTAGCTAGGTTAATTTTCTAAGATACAGCAGGACAGCCCTTAGAAGGAAGGATTCAGTAAGGTTTTGGTTAGATAAATAGTAATAATCAAATACAGGAAGAAAACTAAAAACAATGTACTTATGTAGTGAGAGTATGACTAAAGTGAATCCTTTAAATTTGCCTTTAGGCATTATTATAATATAGTTCAATAAAATTCGGGTTAAAAAAATTATACCCGCTCAACCAACGAGCCTGGAGGTCCCACGGATCTGCTTCTTGCTTCAACAGTGTTTGGACGGAACAGAGCCGGGGACTCACTTTTCTTCCAGCTTCCAACCGCCTTCCAATCTGATCTCCATTTGCAATCTCCGGGACCATCTGCTCGCCCAGGACCTGCTTCCAGGACCAGCCAACTCTGTTTTTTGTGGTTAGCTCCTTCTTGACGACCAACCATGACCTCCTAGATTCGTCAGAATTATTCCACCGAGGTGGAGGCTGCCGTCAACCGCCTGGTTGATTTGCATTTGCGCGCCTCCTACACCTACCTCTCTCTGGGCTACTATTTCGACCATGAGGATGTGGCTCTGGAGGGCGTGGGCCACTTCTTCCGCGAGTTGGCTAAGGAGAAGCGTGAGGCCTCCCAGCGTCTCCTCAAGATGCAAAACCAACGCGGCGGCCGCGCCCTCTTCCAGGACGTGCAGAAACCTTCTCAAGATGAGTGGGGCAACACCCTGGACGCCATGGAAGCTGCCTTGGCTCTGGAGAAGAACCTGAACCAAGCCATTTTGGATCTTCATGCCTTGGGTTCTACCCGCACAGACCCACATCTCTGTGACTTTCTGGAGAACCACTTCCTTGATGAGGAGGTGAAGCTCATCAAGAAGATGGGGGACCACTTGACTAACCTCCACCGTCTGGCGGGCCCCCAGGCTGGCCTGGGCGAGTATCTCTTTGAAAGACTCACCCTCAAGCATGACTAGAGGCCCTGGAGTACAGTGGCCTTTGATGGGGCTCCTTTGCATCTCCTGGCATCAGGGCTTTGGCCTGAGCCTCTCACTCTAACCCCTAAGCAGCTTTTTAACCACCATGGAGCCCCTCCCAAGCCTTGGACCAAATAAAAATTAAAGCTTTTTCCAGCAAAAAAAAAAAAAATTATACCCACTCAATAGGACCCTATGGAGAAGTTATAAAGTATAAAGCATGTCTATAAAGGACAGAAGTGGAAAGATGTCCAAGTGAGAGCAGGAGATAGCAATGTGCTAGGCAGATGGGGTCAGGGCCCCCCTCAGGAGTTTACAAAATGGAGTGGACAGCTCGTGAACAGTGACTCCATCCCAGCCTGGAGGTGTGCACAGGAACCCTGAGCCAGTCCCTGAGGCAAAGATGCATGATCTGCACGCTGCTAGGACCCCGGAACCCTAGTAGGACTGGACTCAATTACCCAATTTTGAAAAATCTCTAGCTTATGGTTTTCAAGGCCACCCAACTCCCTTTTAACCCAACAACAGACACCCCTTGGCAATCCTCCTTGGGACGGCTATCCCCGCATGAGCTCTGCTTTCTATTACTTTAATAAATCCTGCTACTTTGGTTTCACCATTTCTGTCTGTGGATTTCATTCTTCAAATTCATGAGACAATCAACAGATCCTCCCATCTCTTTAGTTATAATTATGAGAAAAATAAAGTAAATTCCCCACATAAAGTATTGAAGTATGATCATATTTTTCCTCAAAAATATAGTCAAAACTGGAAACTGGGGTGGTGGCTCAGCGGTAGAGTGCTCTCCTAGCAAATGGGAGGCCCTCTGTTTGATCCTCAGCACCACATAAAAATAAATAAAATAAAGGTATTAAAAAATAGTCAAAGCTGGGCATGGTGGCACATGTAATCCCAGCTACAGCAGAGGCTGAGGCAGGAGGATCACAAATTCAAAGCCAGCCTCAGAAACTTAGGCCCTAAGCAATTTAGTGAGACCTTGCTCAAAATAAAAAATAAAAAGAGCTGGGGATGTAACTCAGTGGTAGGGTGTCCCTGGGTTCAATTCCTCTGTACCAGGAAAAAATTAATAAATAAAAAAATCATGTAAGTCTTTGATTGTTCTACAAAACTCTCAATTTTGAAGCCTGGGAGTTGGACTCGTTGGATTCTAACACTCTTCATATTATACGTATCTTAACCCAAAGGAAGCCACATACCTCAGGATATTTACTCTTCCCTCTTTGAAGATAGAGCAAACAGAATACAGATATGATTTTTTTCAAGTATTTGCTTTAAATGCATACTCTAAACCATAAGCTTCATCTTAATTTTGTCACAGGTATTTTTTGAGATTTACTGTGGAACAAGGTATTTTATTTATAACACAGCCTTGAAAACGTATGCTTGTGATTTGACCAGGAGGATAATCTGTATTGTAATTTACCCTGTGGCAATACAGGTAGCTTGTGATTTTGCCTGAGGAAATAACTAAGCTAGAGAATGGTCTTTTTTTTTTTTTTTTTTTTTTACTTGATGAAAATATAAAGCAGATCTGGTTGCAGATGTTTGTGGGAGTTATGGCTTGGATATGAGATGTCCTCCCAAAAGCTCCTGTGTTCATGCAGGTTATTCAGAGGTAAAGTGATTAGATGACCTAATCAGTCCATCTGAGTTTGGGAGGACTGAGTGAGAGGCCACTGTAGGCAGGAGGGGTGTGGATGGAGCTGGTAGGTTACTGTAGGTTGCTGGAGGTGACACCGTTGCTCCTCCCCCTTACTCTCTCTGCTTCCTGCTACCTTGGATGGAGCAGCACCCCTCCACCACACCCTCTGTCATGAGGCTCTGCTTCAGTCTGGGCCCAGAGCACTGGAATTCGCCCACCATCACCTGAACCTCAGAAACCATGGGCTCAAAGTAAGTTTTCCTTCCTCTAAGTTATTCTTGTCAGGTATTTTGGTCACAGAAATGAAAAGCTGACTGTCCCAGTAGGTTAATCATCCTGAAGGACATCTCTCATAGCCAGCAAAATTATTTGCCTATGAAGTATTCCAACTCATCTTTGGGTTCAGATAAAAGGGGGAAATTACTGTTTATCTCTGGGAACTGGAGACATTTTTTATTTAAGCCTGTCTCATTTTTGGATGCTGGCAGATGGGAAAGATCAAAAGAATAAACTGACTAAGGCTGTTGCAATAGGTCACAAAGCTGGGGAATTCTGATAAATTAATGTCATAGCTTTTTTCTCACAGAACCCTCTGGTCTCTTGGAAAAATATGGTAAAGATAAACTAACCTCAGCAATGCAGATGTTGGCCATGGTAGATCTATAGTTACATGAACTGGAGGGCTGCTCTTGGGTCACTAGCAGTTCAGCCTCCTCATGAAGTTCTGTTGACATGGCAAAATGAAACCAAGTCGAAAGCCAAAATACAAAGCAGGGGGAAATGCAGCAGAAGCCATTTGAATCCAATCTTGTTGTTATTAGTAACTCATTTTTTTGGTCCAGATTGATCTCTACACAGTAAAAGTGTTTAATTTCTAGTACCATGTTACTAGGACCATGGAGGGAAAATTTGGCCTCACTGAAAAGTAAAGCATAGTATTAGAGCCAATGAGAAAAGGGCATAGTACATTTTTCAGGTTTTCTTTCATTGAATTATATTCAGGCATCTGGAATGGGAAACTGAAATTCCAACTTTGGCATAATTGTCATTGATATTTAAATGTGAAAGAAAGGAACTTTCTCACTTGTTCCAAATATGTAGGAAATATAGCCTGATCTTTTAACATGGAAATGTCCACATGATAGCATGGACCAATTTGGCAAAGATGGCAGGGAGCCAGCTATGTGTTGAGACCCTTAGTTATGTGATTTCAACCAGGTTATTGAATTTGGTTGAAGCTCAACTGGATTAGATGGTTTCTTAGATTTATAACCTTAAATTATACTGATAGTACTGTTCTGCATTGCTATTGGGTAAACAAATACAACTAAGCAAGCCATGGAAATATTTTCAATGACAGATTACAAATAAAATTACAATGCTCCAGTAAAAACTCTTCTATATGCCAGGCATTATACTCTTACAGGAGTACAACAAAGTAGGTGTTTTTATCTTTTTACAAATGAGAGAACTGAGATTCAAGGAATAAATCCAGTTGGTCCAAAATCTCATAGTGAAAGGCTGGGTTGTGTTTTATACACAGAGATCTCTGGTGCCAAATCCTGGGTCCTTTCATTCTACAACCTTCCCTTAATGGCAGAGAATTCTAGAGCCCACAGGTCGATGACATTTCCAGGCCCTTCCTATGTCTGCGTAGAGCTACATGTCCAATCCTGCTAGTGGAATGTGGTCAGCATTGCCTTATGTCCTTTACAACCCTGCTCCCAGAAGGACCACATGACTTTTCGCACTGTCTTTTCCCAGCTCCTGTTGACTAGAAACCAAGGACTCAGAGGTGATGACATTGCACAGTAGAAGGAACCTGGCTCCTTGAGTCCATTTCTTGTGGAAAACTTCCAAAAGGACCATCAATCAGGAGCATTTCCACATCAGATATTTCATAGATGAGAAACAAGTCATAATTCTGTTAAGCTCCTCAAATTTGGAGGTTGAGGATTTCAGCAATAATTGAGAGGATGGACTCCAACTTCAGTTCATTTTTTCTATATTCATTTAAGATATCAAATTAAATTTTTTCATTTTAAAAAGTTTATTCTAGGGCTGGGGATGTGGCTCAAGCGGTAGTGTGCTCTCCTGGCATGTGCGCGGCCCGGGTTCAATCCTCAGCACCACATACAAACAAAGATGTTGTGTCCGCCAAAAACTAAAAAATGAATATTAAAAAAATCTCTCTCACTCTCTCTCTCTCTCACTCTCTCTTTAAAAATAAGTTTATTCTAATTGTTATATATGATAGCAGAATGCATTTCAATTCCTATTATATATATATAGCACAATTTTTCATATCTCTGGTTGTACACAACATAGAGTCACACCATTCGTGTCTTTATACAAGCACTTAGAGTAAGGATGTCCATCTCATTCCACTGTCTTTCCTACCCCCATGTCCCCTCCCTAAGGTCATTTTTTTTTTTTTTTAGTAGTGGTGCTAGGAATTGAACCCAGGGCTTCATTCATGCTCCTCAAGAGCTCTGCCATTGTGCTATATTCCCAGCCCCATTTTTGGCCTTTAAAAAAGAGTCAAAGCTGCCAGCATCTCATATAGGAAGTTGTCAAACTTAGCAAAGAAAAGAAAATAAGATTCTTACTTCAATTTGAATGTCTGACAAGCAACAAATAAGTACATTTTGTTAAATATTCTGTTAAATATTTGGGAGATTCTTATGCTAAAAAATTCATTATTTATCTGAAATTCAAATTAGAGAAAAGCAAGAAGTTGAAAGCAAGCAGGAAGAGACTACCTTTATTTAATTTACATTTCTTTAAAACAACTTTAATTATGATTGGAATTCAAAAATCTCTTATGTATTCAATGTGTGCCACTTAATATTTGGGGATCAGTAACCACCCGTGAAGCCATCACCTTAATGCATGCCACAAACATGTCTATCATCTCCAAACATTTTTTCATGCCCTCTTTATTATTATTTTTTTTAAAATTGTATTTTTAGTTGTCAATGGACCTTAATTTTATTTATTTGTATGCAGTGCTGAGATTTGAACCCAGGGCCTCACACATGCCAGGCAAGTGCTCTACCCCTGAGCCACAACTCCAGCCCCCTTTATTATTCTTTGAAATAAATACACTGCTGTGTTCTGAATCTCTTCCAAATTCATATGTTGAAATTCCAACCCCCAAGGTGATGGCATTAAGAGTTGGGTCACTGGGGAGGCGATTAGGTCATGAAGGTGGAGCCCCCACGAATGGGATTACTGACTATATAAAAGATACTCCTTCCACCATGTGAGGACATCGAGAAGGCAGCCATTTATGAGCAGGGAGTGGGCCTCTCCAAGCACTGAACCTGCCAGTGAACTTCTTCTCAGCCTCCCAAACTGTGAGAAAAAAATGTCTGCTGTTAATGAGTTGCCTAGTTTATGGTATTTTGTTAAAGAAACCTTAGTGTACTAAGATACTTAACATAAGATCTATCACCAAACAAACTAAGTGTAAAACAGTATGCTGGGAACTATAGGCACTAAGAGAGATCGCCAGGACTTATTCATCTTGTGGAACTGAAACTTTACACTCATTAATGACATCTCCCCATCCCCCAACCTCTGTCGGCCACCAGTCTGTCCTTTGATAATATGGATTTGACTTGTTAAGACTCCACATATCCATGAAGTCACGAGACATTTGAGTACTTGCTTCCCTGTGCCTAGCTTATTCCAATTAGCATAATGTCATACAGGTTCTTCCACATTGTCACATATGACAGGATTTCAGGAAGGGCTTTTAGAAGGTGGGGATCAGAGGACAGCTCCTCTCGGGATTCATGTTTATTGGCTGCGAATGGAAGATGACAGGAGTAAACCCTGTGTCAAGGAAAGATATTTCCAGGAAGACACTGAGGTGGGAGAACGTTTGTTCTGTTTTGTTTGAGGAACTGAAAGGAGGCCAGTACCCTGCCAGTGTGGCTAGAGCAAAGGTTCCACAGAGGGAGAGGCAGCAGGGCTGGGTCTTCCCAAGGTGCTTTGTGCAGGGTAAGGCTGGACTTTACCCCACGCCAAGGACAGACACCACCTACTGGTGGAATCTTTTCCAGGCTGCTGTGAGAACTGCATGAAGGTATGAACAAAAGTGGAAGTAGCAAGAGCAGTAAGGAAGACATGACGGAAATTCAGGCAAGAGGAAGGTGTCGCACAGGATCTCTCAACCCATGAGTTTTTCCAGAATGCTGCTGCTCCCCATCCAGCGGTAGATCCAGGGCTGAGGATGTAGCTCAGAGGTAGGGTGCTTGCCTAGCATGCATGAAGCCCTGGCTTTGATTCCCAGCACCCACCCACACACACAGAGTAGATCCATTTCTTTCCCCTTAAACCTGGGTGAGACTCTTGACTCTCTTGACAAATGGAATGTGGGGAGGTGATGCTGCATGACTTTCAAAGCTATGTTATGAAAGGCTCTAAGGCCAGAGCTCTTTCTCATCAGCTCACACGCCCACGTGGAGGCACCTCAGGGAGCAGCCCATGCAAACTGCAGTTGCCAAACAGCAGCTGCCAATTTCAGCTGTCAGATTTTCCCCAGTCATGGGGAGCAGAGACCAGCCGACCCTGCGTATCTTGTCTAAATGCCTGACTTGTGGAACCTATAATCATGATAGTTGTTTTATATTGTTGGATTTTGGGGTAATTTGCTACACAGCCATAATAACTGAAACAAGAGGACAGTGACTGGAACTTGTGTGGTGGTGGTGGATTTGGAGAGAGTGGACCTGTTGGAGATGCTGAATGGAAACAGAATTAACAAGACACAGTCAAGGAAGGGAGAGAAAACAACTTAATTGTGAAGATGTTTCAGGGGAAGGCCAGGATAGAATAAACTTTTGAATCTTTTCTTAAATTTTAAAGGATAAAAAGGGTTAGGAATATAGCTTAGTGATAGGGTGCTTGCCCAACATGCATGAGTCCCTAGGCTCAATCCCCAGTACTGCAATTAAAAGAAAAGGCACCTGAAGATTATTGAGAAGGAAGGAAGGGAAAAAAATTAGACACACAAAATACAGATGGCCTTCATAACTACTTTCTGTAGTTGAACCCTTCCTCTTGATCTTGGACAGCTGTTGACTATGATTTTTATTCATCTTTGACAACTTACCCCATTAGGCCACACACTCAACTGGTCTTGCTGTGATGAAAGATAACAGTGATTACATGTGTTGGGTATTTTCTATGTGTCAAGCATCACATGCATCCATTTATTTACTCTTCCCACGAACTTAGGAAGGAAGTCCCATTGCTATCCCTCCCTTTACCAGGAAACAGAGTCAGGAAGTGTAATTTGCACAAGTTCACAGCTGGAAAGCCATAGTGTGGGGGTCCAGTCCTGCCTGTCTGTGGGTGCATAGCCTTTCCTCAACCTCGAATACTATCTTTTAGTATTTAATGCCTTTAATGTTCTTCACAACTTTAAGCCTATAAATAAATGAACTGCTCTCTGCTCTCTGGGGCTTTGAAACAGAGAGTTAGAAAAAAAAAAAAGTAAAAACAAACAAAAGAGAGTTAAGAAGTGCTGGGTGGAAGGGTAGTACTTAATCCCAGCAACTCGGAGGGATTGCAACTTGAGGTCAGACTCAGCTAATTACCAAGGTCCTAAGCAATTTAGATCCTTTCTCAACATAAAGAAACAAAATAAAAAGGGTTGGGGATATGGCTCAGTGGTTAAGTGCCCCTGGGTTCAGTACCAAAAAAAAAAAAAAAAAAAAGGAAGTGCTGGGGAGGGAGAGGAAGAGAGGTGGTGAAATGTTGAAATGTTAGTGGGTCAGATAATCCCATCCAAATAGTCATAATCTACGTAACTGGTAAAACCATATTGCTAGACCCTAATTGTGCCCAAATTTCAATTCTCTTCTAGTGGTCATGTGACTGAACTGTGGCCAGTGGGATGTGGTGGATGGAAATGATGTATGTACCTTTTTAAAAAAAGGGAGCATGACATCAACCTTATCCCTGCCACAGGGTAGGGAGCAATCTCTATGGCACAGGAGGGGTCAACACACTCAGGATGGCAAAATGACCAGCAGGAGGCTGGATCTGCAGATACCCAGGATCTGCAGAGCTCAGCTGTTCAGCCTGAACTCTGAGTGCATGAGAAAGGAAACCGAAGCTTATGGCTAAAGTTATTTAGGTTCTTATAGAATTTATAACCTAACTGGTGTTGGCCATAGTTGTGAACAGTACTATGGAAGCTCTGAGAAGGAATACTTAGGTGTGAAGATATTTATTTTGACCCTCCTGTGTGTCTGTGCAGCCTGCATATAAGGTCAATGGAGTGGGGATTTTTGAGAAAAAAAAAATGATACTCACACAAATGGTGCAGTAGGCCATTTTTCTTTGCTTTTTGAGTGGGTAGGTTTTTCTTTGCCAGAAGGCCTCTCTTACTGAGAGACTTTTGTTTCCATTTAAGATTCCCTTATAAAACTGAATTACCGACATCTATATCAGCTGAAAGAGAGAGGATGCTGTACCCCCACAGCTGTATACCCAAGGGGCAAGATGAAGTTGGATGTTGTTCCTACATCTTTTATGTTCAGTTACATCTTGGTTGATTGTGGCTTTTCAGCACGATTGGGCAAAATAAAGACCATGCAAGCTGGAGACAGGCACTGAGGGTCAATTTAGTTACCACACACTGTACTCAAAACAGGAATACTCCACCCATCTGAGGAGTCTATGCCATCCTGCTCCGGGAATTTTAGTTACCTCTGTATATCCGCTGGTTTATTTGCGTTTCCCGCCCCAACCCCTCAGGTATTGAACATAGGGGCACTTAACCAGTGAGCCACATCCCCAGCCCTTTTTATTTTATTTTTTTTTTTATTTTGAGACAGGTTCTCCCTAAATTGCTTAGGGCCTTTCAAAGTTGCAGAGGCAGGCTTTGAACTCATGATCCTCCTGCCTCAGCCTCCTGAGCCTCTGTGATTACAGGCATGCACTACTATGCCTGGCTTGAGTTTTTTTTTTTTTTTTTTCCCTTTCCTTTTTCTTTTTTAAAAGAGATATATAAATTACTTCTGCTATACTGTAGTCTATTTTTTCCACTTATAACTGTATACCCAAAGTTTTATTGTCACTATTTAAAATTATGTGGAGAGCTAATTAAATACAGAAAGGATCTTACAAGTTAACAAGACAGATAAAACAATGGTCAAAAGATAATGCAAGAACTGATTTCTTTAATGGTCTCTGTCAAAGGCTTCTCTATATCCAGGCCTTTAGGATGTTTCCTCCTTCCTACTCTGTCCTGGGCGAGACCCAATGACTTGCTGTGGCCAATGGGATAGGAACATCTGCACAGAGCAGACACTAGGAAAAGCATTTGGGTCTCTTCTCCCTCTCTCTCTTGAATCTGTGCCACTCTCATGAACATCAGTGTGGGCTGGCCTGATGGAAGAGAGTCCTGGGGAGAAGAGCCAACATAGACCAGCCAATGCCATCCCACACCAGCAGCTTTAGTGACTCATCAGCTGACGGAAGATGCTGAGCCCAGATGAGATCAACTGAGACTAGGCTCAGCAAAACAACCCAGATGGGGTTGTGGACTATGGACCTGTAGACTATGTTTTAATCTACTGGGTTGCAGCGGGGGGTGGGGGTTGTTACTTACTAATACTGATAGAGATAAAAATAGGAAAATGAACTATAATGGCCAATAAACAAATTGAAGATCTTCAATCTGATTTATAAACAAAGAAATGTAAAACTCAAACACTGAGATATTATAGCAAGTTAGGAGACATTAATTTTGATGATGGCGTGGAGGAATCAAGCACTTTTGGGAAGAAGTACTGGAAGTAGTTGGTAGAGTGCGAGTGAGTGGCACTGGAGATGCAGTCCAATCTTGCCTGTCTTACATGATTTCTCACTTGCAGAAGCAGGAAGGTTACCAGCTACATTCCCCTGGCTCTCTAGAGAGCTAGATTTCTGGATATGAGTTGCATTCTGCTGGTTACTTGAGCTCTGGAAGGCAGAAGAGGAAACCATACTTTGCTGCTTGAGCCAACAAACACTGTCAGGAAAGTGACCCCCTGATTATTTTGGCTTCCTGACTAGCAGAGGCAGCATGCTTTTGGAGTTTATGGAAGTCAAGACAGCAGCTTCCCAGTTTGGCAATGACTTTCCTGATTGAAAAGGTAATAGCTCTTTTTGAAGCTCAGGCCTGCAAGTGTGGCTCTTGAAGTCATCTCTAAATATTCAATGTAGATTTGTTCTTGAGCCTTCCCAATGACTCTTCATTTCATCCAGTAGCCTGTAACAAAACTCCCCTTAAGCTGGGTGGAACATAACTCTTCTCAGCTAACTGAACTATAATTGATACAGTTATCAACATAAAAAATGCATAGATCCTCTGATCCACTTCTAGGAATTTAACTTCCTAGAAATTTATCTTTCAGTCATTCACAAAGAAGTACTCATTGCAGCATTGTTTATAACAACAATTTTAACAACCCCAGAACATTCTAGATGTCCATAAGTAGGAAACAGCTTAGACAAATTGTGGTACATCTGAACGATGGAATGTTTAAAAGAATACAATACAATGCAATGTGAAAAAGAATGAGGTAAATCTTTAAGAACTAAGAAGAAACAATGTCCAAGAGGCCCTAATTTAAAAAGTTGCAAGAGTATGTATTATGTTCCTATTTGGAATAGATTGGTTTCATTTGTACTGTTTCATTTGTACAACAGAGAGCCCACAGTTAATAATTATTTTTCCCTATGAGCAAGAATTACTTTGAGATGCTCCAGTGTTACACCATATATAATCTTATTCAAGTGCACAGATAATGCCTTTAAAGTATAATATGTGTAGGCACTGTGCACAAGTCTTCCAGAGTTTATGAGTTAAGAAATAATTACTGCCCTTCAGGGGTGCAAGACTTAGTGGTCTTGACTTCCACATATATAAATAGTTCTATCCTAAGTAAACCATGTGATAATTGGTAGGAAGTATCAAGAAAGAAGAGGGTAGGAGAAAATAATTCTAGTTGCAAATCAAGAAGAGGCTCTGCTGGGTTTGGATGGTCAGAGATTGTGCAAAGAGTTAATTTTCAGTGAATGCTTTCCATTCCTCTGGTCTTTAAGGATCCTCAGAATTTGCTGTTTACTGTATGCCACCCCATGCTAAGTGATTTAGATGCATTTTTTTTTTTAATGATCCCAATAACTCTGTGAAGGAAGAGTACTTATCTCATTTTCAGATGAAGAAACTAAAACATAGAGACATTAAGAAATCAGCCCAAGGACATACAGCTGGATTCAGGCCTGCCAGGCCCAGAGCCTGGGCTCTCAACCACCATGCTGTACAGTTAGATAGGAGAATTGCTGTGTGTGGGTTGGGAGGTGGGGTTGTAAGGAAGAGCTGGTGGCTAGATAATAACAATGAAAATTTTTAAGCATATAATATATCCTAGACATGGTGCCAAACAAAGGATTGTTTGTCCCCCATCTTGAAGAAATCTAACTTCCCACCTCCTTTGTACCTGAGCAGCTGACCCTGGTAGAGAACACAGGACAATGGACTTCAGCTGACTGCTGGGCTGCCTCGAGAGCCAGCTGCATTTCCCGTTCTGGTAGTTCTCAAAATGTGGGTTGCCAGCACCCACACCAGCATCCAGAACTTGAAGGTACTTGAGGGAAATACAAATTCCTAGGGGAGAGCAGGGTGCCATTTAATGGGGACAGTTTTAGTTATAGAAGATGAATAAGTTCTAGAGATCTGTGTACAACAGAGAGCCCACAGTTAATAATACTAACAATGCACCTAACAATGTGTAAAAAGGATAGGTCTGATATTAAATGGCCATAACACACACACACACACACACCAAAACAAAACAAACATGGGCTGGGGATGTGGCTCAAGCGGTAGCTCGCTCCCCTGGCATGCGTGCGGCCCGGGTTCGATCCTCAGCACCACATACAAACAAAGATGTGTCCGCTGAAAACTAAAAAATAAATATTTAAAAATTCTCTCTCTCTCTCTCTGTCTTAAAACAAACAAACAAACAAACAAACCAAGAAACAAAGGGGCATGGAGAAACACTTAGAGGCTTATTACCATTGACTGGTTTCATGGGGTATGTACATGTCTAAACTCATCAATCTGTACACATTGAGTATAAGCAGATTTTTGTATATTAATTATGCTTCAGTAAAGTTGAAGAAGGAGAAGGAGGAGGAAGAGGAAGAAGAAGGAAGAAATGCAAATTCCCAGACTCCACCCCACACACCTCAGACCTGCTGACTCAGCCTCCAGGGCTGCCTGGCCACGGGTGCTCAACAAGCCTCCCATGTAAGTTTGAGAACTTCTGTTCAGACCTCTGCTCTCCTGATTTTTCACACTTCTTTCTATCTCCTCAAACCTCTCCACTCCCAGCTGATCAGAGAAAATGGAAGCAATCAGAAGAGACCTCTATTTCTCCTAGCACATCATCTCCCCAGCCCTTCCTCCATGCTTTTCCATTCTGCTTTTCCTCTTGCAACTTAGGGTGGGAACTATCAATGCTAACAAACTTTTCCCTCCATGCACTCAGAACTACTCAAAGTGTGGTCTTTGGAGCAACAGCAGTAGTAGCATGGGAATTTGCTGGAAATCCGGACACTCAAGGCCCTCAAATCAGAATCTGCATTTGACAAGACTGTCTTTCAGATGGACACACTCAGATTAGGAAGCACTAGATCCTGTTCCCTCCTTCCTGCTCAAGGACCTCACCCCACACAATGGTCCCTTTCTTCCTCATTGCCCCTCCCCATTGACTCCTACTCTCAGCATTCAAACTGTAAACTGTAAGGTGATCCATTAAAGAAAATACTGTCCCACACCATGACCCATAGTTCTTTCTATTGCTTCATTTTTCAGCTCCAGTTCTGGTCTTCTTGTTCACTCTTGAACCTTTTCTGATTAGATTTTTGCCACTTCACGGAGACCACACTGGGAGGCTCCCAGGGCCTATGCTGTGAAGTCAGTCAGCTGGGCCTCCCTTTCCCTGACTCACAGCACTGCCCCAGCTGGACATTCCTCCTCCATTTACCATGTGGCCTGGCACTGGCTTCTCTTAATCTCTCCCTCCTTCCTGCTACTTCTTTTTGTCTCTTTTCTGGTCTTCTTCAACTTCAGGGGCCCATATTCTGCAGTGTCCTGGGTTCAGGTCTAATCAGCTGCTCCTTGCTTATGCCTTTGATGATCTCATCCATCAATGCCATCTCTGCATGACTCCTGAAGCTGACCACCCTGACCTCTCCCCTGAGCTCCACCTCTTCTTGCCAGCTGCCTCCTGGACTACTGCACTTGGACCCCTAAAGGGCAGTCCACACTCTGCGAACATTCAGACCCACACTGCAGACCTTCCTCCACTCCAGGTTTTCCTGATCAGCAAGCAGCAGTTCCACCCTCTCATTTGCTCAGGTCCAAGACTTGACCCTTTCTCTCATCCCATCCACTCATTAGCAAATCCTGTTGGTTCTACTTTAAAAACACATCATAAAGCTTCTGATCTTTTTATCCCGTCATCCTGGACCAAGTTACTCTTCTGTTTCTTGGTGGTTATTGCAATGGCTTCCTAACCAGGCTCTTTGCTTCTGCTCAACATCCAGAATGATCTTGCTATTAAAATAAATAAATAAACAAACAAAAAAACACCCAGGTCAGATTTAATCATTCCTCTACTCAAAACCCCAAAATGGCTTCCTCCCTCTTCCCAGAGGAAAACAGTCCAAAAGGGCCTTTGCAGTCCAGCCCTGACCTCAGCCCCAGCCACTTGCTCCCTGCTTACTCATTTCTGCCATGCTGGCTTCCTTCCCTTTTCCCCAACACACAGCCACTGTTGGCTCTGTGTGGAATGTTTTCTCACAGCTAACAATGTTTTCTGCTCAGAGAACCAACCCTTGGCTCTTCCTGCCCCTTCTCTACTTTATTCTCTTCACACTAATCACCACCTGGTATATAACCACCAGTCTGAGGTCTACAGGCTATCTCCCCTTAAAACTGGAGTTTGTGATGAAACTTGATTCTCTGCTTCTGTTGGCTGGTGGAGTCTGTGTAAGCTGCAGGCCTTTGCAGCCCAGAAAGCCTGATTCTTCTCCATTACCACTGAGTGGTGAGTTGCAGATCTCAGTACTGCAGCTCCAGTAGAATTCAGCAGCTCACTGCCAACTTCTTTCCAGGTTTTTGTCTTGCAAATCTAAAGAATGAAATTCATGAGACAATGGAAGGCAACAGTGAAAGGGAAAGGAGTTAGGATTCATTCAAGTGTGAAGAATAGAAACAGAAATTTTGCACAGGCAAGAGGAGACCCCTACAGCAGTTGCTGCCTGAGTATGCTAATCTAGGAGTTTGGCACATGGGTCAACACCATTGGTCCAAACTTAATGCTATTCAGGGTTTGGCAATGTTATTGGTTAACCCTTGAGCCTGAACATTCATTCAGGTCTGCCCCACTTCCATTTTCCTGCTGCTCCATGGGAAGTGGGAGATTGAGCTTGTGGGATCACGGATGCTCCAGGGTTCTGACCCCAGAAGGACTGCCTGAGTGGGATAGGTTGGCACGCCCAGGCTTGCCTCTGGCTCTGGCTTGATGCACCTCAGGCCTGTGCCAGCAAAGCTGGATCCACACAGCTGAAGCCCGTGCTGGACACCTGCGCTCCTGACTGGGTTGCCACTTTATCACTCTGGGACAGGGGTTGGATTTTCCCTGACCACAATGAGTCGAGATCTCATCCAGGCTGTCTGGTGCTGAAGCCTCCATGCCCGGCACACAGTGGGTGTTCAGTGTTTGATAACCAAGTGAACATAGATGATCCCATTTAGGCACTCTCATTTAGAGGTGAGGAAGCTGGGGCTTAGAGACAGTGGTGTAAATCCTCCAAGGCCATATGATTAGCTATTGGCTGGAGTTTGAATTCAGAGCACATACTGATAACTAAGCTATGCTGCTTCTTTCCCACCCTGTGAAAAATCTCTGAAACAGTAAAACCCTGTGTAAAAGTGAATTATCTTTGCTATTTTTTTAAAATGTTGATTCAAATACTTCATCCCCGCACCCCACCCAAGGTGTTCTGAGCCCCTTAGAAGGGAAGCCTGGAGGAAGGAGAAGAGATCTAGTTTACAGAAGACATTGTGCAGGCTGAAATGCCAGCAGAGATGCCTAGCTTGATGGGTTCAGGCTGGAAATTGCACAGAAGTTAGGTGGCTGATAAATGCCATCATTCCATAATTCCTTTCTCAGGAATGCATAGGCCTGACCTCATTATGACCTGTCTAAGGGATGGTTAAGGGGTTAGGATTCTGTAGACACTGAATGATGGGTCTAGCCATGTGTGTCAAGCAAATCTTTCCTTTCCCAGCTAATGTTAGAGGCTAGGCCTTGTTCCTACCTCATTTTCTTCTCAATATAAACTATATCACCCATTCTAATTGAATCTTGATCCCTTCTGCATGTTGCTGGTTTATGAAAGCAATTTTAAAAAGTGTAAGACTATCAAATAAAAGTTCTCATTATTATAGGAAATGTAATATACATATTTCATCCCCTTTCCCCAGTCCTGACATTCAGTGATTTGCCTTTCTCTCTCATTATCTTCACCAGGCCTTTCTTTTCTTACTAATCTCTCTAAATAAGAGATATTACTTCCACTTCTGCATATGAGCCATCCCAAGGTCTCCTGACCCTGTTTCCCTGACCTGCTGAGGGACCTCGCTAGCTCAGAGGGCCCAACTTGCTGCTTGTTTCCTTCTCACTGTTGGGTCTTCCCCTCTGACCATAAACATACTACGCTCTCAGCCCCTCTGAAAAAAATCTTCTGTCCTTCAACTACCTTATTTCTTTCATCACCATTCAACACATCCAAAAGATTACAGGCTTGCTCAAGCCCCTGCATGCCTTGAATGCCTCCCAACCATCTACTGTGCCTGGCGAGCAACCCGACAGCCGTTTCCCTCTCCCTTGATTCCTGCTTTCAGTCGAATCTGACAACACCTTTCTGACTATCTTGTCTATGTCCTATCTTTAAAAGAACCTCAAAACAACTAAAATGTCTACATAAAAAAATCGATGTTGGGTTGGGGTTATAGCTCAGTAGTATAGTGCTCGCCTCACACATGCAAGGCCCTAGGTTCGATCCTCAACACCACATAAATAAGTAAAATAAAGTCTTGTTTAAAAAAAAAATCAACGTAGATGATATGATGGAGCTTTACATACTGATAAAAACAAAGTTTACAAACTTTTTAAGAGCATAAAAGATTTGGTTATAATATAAAGTTAGGGCGGAACACTACATATACAGCATCAGCTTAACCATAGGCTTTTAGACAAACTGGGAGGAAATAAGAGTGGTTACAACTAGCTGGTGGAACTGTGGGGTAATTTTTTTTTCCTTAACTATTTCCTATACTTTACAATAGCCTTTTAAAGAAAAGTCTGGGAGAATACAAAGGACATTTTTCTGGCCTGCTATCTGCTGGTGAATTCCAGCAAGGCCTGGGTTGAACTGCATTTAGTGCCTTTTCCACCCTTTCTCATCTCTTGGGTTCCTTTGCTTAATTCTCAAGTTTCTTGTTTTTTTTTTTTTTTTTTCTTTTTGGTACTGGGAATTAAACTCAGGGGTGCTTAACCCATTAAGCCACATTCCCAGCCCTTTATTTTACTTAGAGACAGGGTCTTGTTTTATTGCTTAGGGCCTTACTAAGTTGCTGAGGCTGGCTTTGAACTTTGATCCTCTTGCCTCAGCCTCCTAAGCCACTGGGATTACAGGCCTGCACCACCGTGCTCAGCACTTCTCATTATTCTTTAGCCTGAGTTTTGTCATTTCTTGCCCACTTTGTAATCCCTTTTCTATCTTGTCTTGTAAATATTTTCTCATATAATTTTTTGAAGGAAGTATATGTTAGGTCCTAGCTATTTCCAAGTGATTGAAATTCTTACTATTAGTATCTCTTGTTGAAATTTTGGCCCTGATTGAGCTTCATTATACATACTCACCATGGGGAAGGTGTGCTTTGAGAACGAGTCGACAGCCCTCATGGAAGTGGGTCTTAGCCGAGTGGCCGAGCGCTCTGGTGAAAGTGCAGTAAGTTATTCAGGATGAGAGGCACAAAGAACCACTATAGGCAATCACTGGCCCTTGGCTGAATTGGCAAGAGCTCTCTGACAGCTATGCGGAGGGCAGATTTGAGAAGGACGGGACTAGAAGCAGGAGGAGTAATTAACAGGCTGCTGCAATAGTGGTCTGGGGTGAGAATATGAGAGCCTGAGCAGGGAGTCATAGCAGGCAGAGTGGGTTCGACAGATTGGTGAGCTATCCAACAAGTAGAACTAACTGGGACTTTTCATGGAGGGACCCCAGGTTTCCAACCTGGATGGCCTGGTGAACTGTGGTTCCCTCAGTGGAGGCAGTGAATACAGTGTGAATTTAAGTGGGTTATGGGCAAAATTAGATGTTGAGAAATTAAGTGTAAGGGTGCCTTAGCAACCCCCTGTAAAACTGTACAGCAGGCAGTAGAAAAGAAGGGCTGGAGAGAGATTGGGATGTTACTGATATCAGGATGCAGCTGAAACCAGAAGAATGGATGAGATTGCTTCAGGAGCAAACAGGACAGGGGATAAAAGCTGGGAAGAGAAGCTGGAGCATACCAGCAATTATGGGACAGGCTCTAACAGAGGAGCTCACAAAGGAGACAGAGAAGGAAGAACCAGAAAGAAAAATCCCGGAGTGAATTGTCACACAAGGCAAGAATCTAGAAGACAGAAAGCACTGATGATTGGAACTCCACTTGATTACTGGAAAGGATCATAACATAAGGGCTGAAAATTCATTACTTGGTTTGGCAGTTAGAACGTCCCTGGTGTCCTCACTGGGAATAATTTGCACAGAGTAGCAATAAGGAAGCCAGACTGCAAGGGGCTGCATGGAATCTGAGAGTCCAGGGTACCAAGGGTAGACTCTTCTTCAAAGGAGTGTGTATGAGACAGATGTTTCAGATGCACTAATAACTAGAAGAAGCTGCAGGCACAAGAACCAGAGAACGAAGGGAGACAATTTGTGTAAGATGCTTAGCACAGATTCTAATATATAGCAAGCTCTCAATAAACACAGATTGTTACTATCATCCTTCATTAACCATATATTAAAATATACTAACATTTTAGCTTAATATTTTATTTTTATAGGCCCCATAGTTATATAGTTAACAAAGATGACAAAAATTCCCATCCAAGGTGCTTATATACCAATGGCAGACAATAAACAAAATAAATAACTGAAATTACATGGTATATTTGCTAGGGGTGGATGCTAAGGAGAAAAACTAGGGGAAGACGATATTAAGTGTTGAAAATAGGAATGAAATTTGAGATAAGAAGCCTTAAGTTAACTTTTAGGTAAAGACTTAAAGGAAATGAATATAGAAACTATAATTAGGAAGTGAAGGAATACTATTAATTATCATCATTATTGCAATTAGCATCCTTAATATATTATTATTACAGAAATACATTATTATCATCTATTATTACTGCTCTCTTTGCTATAATGAACATTGTTATTACAATCAATGCCATCTCTAGCTGCTGAGTGGTTACAGTAGTGGTAGTCAAGTTTATGTCAAAAAGGTATAAAGAAACTAGAACTACTGGGAAACAAAAGTATAACATAATATGTTAAAATCACTGGCCAGAGCCAGTGGTGGTGCCCGTCTGTAAGTCCAGTGGCTTGGGAGGCTGAGGCAGGAGGATCGTAAGTTCAAAGACAGCCTCAGCAAAAGTGAGGTGTTAAGCAACTCAGCGAGACCCTATCTCTAAATAAAATAAAAAATAGGGCTCGGGATGTGATTCAATGGTCAAGTGCCCCTGAGTTCAATTCCTAGTACTGGCCAGTTTGTATTGGCAGAAGCAAAGGGACAAATGGTAGGTGATTGTGCAGGTGAGAGCTGCAAATAAGATGCTGTTCTGTGTGTGCACTAGAGGGAAGGAAAGACAGGCCAGCACCGGCTGGGCTGTGGACCTTACGTCACATATGGAATACCCACACTTAGGATCATCTTCAGACCAAAGATATCAAAGGGCACTGACACAAAGATATCTCTGAAGCAACAGGAAAATTGGCACTGGTATCTCAAATCAGCACATCAGCAGAGTGTGTGATTTAGAGGACTGTGTTTCTACTAGAACATTTATTTGACAGTCAGGGATAGGAATTCACCAATACCATCTGGGAATAGTTAAGAGGAACTGGAAGTTCTTGCTATTTACCAAGACAAGCACAATGCTGAGAATAAGGTGGGTGTATAATAAATGAATTGTACTAAATAAGAGGATTAAATCTTGTAAATAATTGATCCACACCATTTTTTAAAAGTCTAATTTGGATTGATAATTATTCTTTGCAATTCAGAGAAAATGATCAAAAAAGAAAGAGGAAAGGGGAAAACAAAAGAAAACAAAAAGAAAAATAATCTGAACGCCTGAGGATTCATCCTAATCAGCTACAATATTTTTTAAAGTGATACGAGCATATCACTCATCAACAATCAGAGACTTCACTGGGCTTATGAAAGGGGACACAAAAACCTATATGTTTTAAGAATAAAACCTCATTCTTCAACTCAGGTTAATGTAAATTTTTGGAAACATCTTAGTTGTATTTTCTAGGTGTATTTATTACTTGAAGGGGACCAAGAATTTGTCTATTAAAACAAACAGAAAGTTATAAAGTTATAAAAAATGTTATACAGATTAAAACTTTATAACCTAACTAGCAATATTTAGAATATAGATAAGTTTTCATTAATTCTTTGTGTCTGTTTAAACAGATAATAAGCATTTCCTTCCTAAGAAACCAAAGTCGGATCACTGTAATGGCCAAGTAAAAGTTTATGAAGGAAGAAGTTGAATAGGCCAATTATGTTTTATGGTTCAAGCTAATAGTAATTGATGTTATCATTGCCTTACCATATAGTATTTATCATAATACACTTCATAACAGTGTATATGTTACATTCATGCATGTTATATGCTTCTCTAAGCATTTCAGAGACTGACTTCATAGACATTAGCAACTTCTACCTTAAGGATAGAAAAACAAGAAATGTGGACTATGGAAAGGTTGTAACTGTGCTGGGGATTGCACAACATGTCAGTTATGGAGTCAGGAACACAGACTCCTGGCCATCCAGGAAGTCTTCAGCAGGAGAGGAACATGCCGAGGGAAGGCAGGAAGAGAAGAAAACATCAGCTACTGAACACTTTCAATGAGTCTGTTAATGACTTAAGATGCAGGACATCAATTATCACATACTTTATTGTCTCCTTTTAGAAACATCCTTATGCCACCTCACTGTAATCAAAGCCCTGAAGGACACCTGCTGTCTTCATGAGCTGCTGGGCCAGGGTTCCTGTTATGTCGGCAGAATCCTTCAGCCCTGACTGCAAGAGAAACTCCGCACAAACCAAGTGCTGACCCGCACAGGCCAGATGCAGGGCTGAGGGGAGATAAAATAACATGGATTTAGAACTTGACCCTCTACAGCAATGCTGACCTCATAAGTCAACTGTACCCAACAAAAATTTTGGTTCATTCAATGATTTGTATTTTATACTTTTTCATCCATCCCCATGACTTTACCTATACTGGACTTGCAGTATTTTTTTAACCTGATTGGGTTAAAAGATTTTTTTTTGGAGGCAGAGGGTACCATGGGTTGAACTCAGAGGCACTCAACCACTGTGCCACATCCCAGCCCTTTTTTGAATTTTATTTAGAAACAGGGTCTCACTGAGTTGCTTAGCACCTCGCAATTGATGAGGCTGGCTTTTAACTCCTGATCCTCCTGCCTCAACCTCCCAAGGTGCTGGGATTACAGGCGTGCGCCACTGTGCCCAGCCAAAAGATTTTTTTAAAGATAACAAACCAGTTACAGAGGATTTAAAGAACCTTTTCTAAAGCAATGGAAAAAAATTAATGAGAAATAGGATACTGATCCTCCTCATCCTCACTCCTGTGTGCCATTCAAAGGCAGTTTCAATGGCATGGAAATTTTTCTCAATGTTTTCTTGAATTCTTTTTCTAAGTAAAAATCACCATGAATAAGTACCACATGACAAAAAGAAAACATGTTGACCAATATTCCCTTCTAGATATGCTGAGAGTCTAAGAGCTTCACTGCTTCTGTGCCTGATCTTGAGGAGCTAGCCTGCATAGCCCTGGAGCCAGAATCTATCATCTGCAAGTCTTTGAAGCATAAAGATCTCAGTAAACCCTTACAGGATGGCCTTTGGCTCAATGGATACTACTTAGAGGGTTTAATTCTAAAGTCCAAGCTTAAACTTAAAGCTCTGAGTGAGGTTGGGGATGTAGCTCATGGTACCCACCATGCACCTCAGCAAGTACCTAGCACACAGAGGAACCAATTCCCAGCACCAAAAATAAAAAAGAGAATTAACTTTGAGAATATATTTCTGAGACCTTGCTCTTGTCCACCTCAACAGCAGGTGTCCTCATGAATTAGATACAAAGTGCTTTGATGGCACATATATTGCTGTGGTTTAAAATAACAGTAAAAAGGGCAGTGGTAATGAGCAGTGGTCATCATCGTCATGATAATAGCAATAGGTTTATAATTTTGCAAACAAAGGAAAATTTATTTTGAGGAAAAGTTGCTGAGCTACTGGAAGAAAAATATTAAAACCAGTGTGTGGGGGTATGTGTGTGTTGTCTTTTTTTTTTTTTTTGTATTACCTATGTGGTTATGGGGATCAAACCCAGGGCCTGTATATGTTAGGCAATGTTTTACCACTGAGCTATACCCACACCACCTCCAAACCCCAAACTAATGCTTTTAATATAAAAGTAGGTGGACTGTTTACATTGAATACCTGATCGATTTCTTTCATCTTTAGCGTTGATGTCAGCACCCAAGAACAAGAGAGTCTGAATCGTGCTTATATGTCCTTCCTGAGTGTTGAAACAAATTCATTACCACTGTGATGAGAACAAAAGAAAACCTTTACACACAAACTCTAGTGCATATTTGGCTCTTTTTAATAGTCAACTCCTAAAACCAAATTTTCATACTTAAGGAAAGACTCAGTATATCACTCTCAATTAATAAAACAATAAATAAATATCTTGGCAATATTTAATTATTAGGATATAGATGATCAAGTTTGTAGGCTAAATTATTGACCTAATACAGTTGGGTTTCTGAAAATGTAAGAATTATAAATCTTATGATTTATATAGAATTCACAATTTCAAAATTTCCCAAGCAAATATATGCTTTGCTATCATCTTTAGGGTAGAGATAAATTAAAAAGATTGTAACCTCTTAGAAAAGAGAATTCTATTATGGCTAGTATTATCATTTATAAATTTTTTTTTTGTGTGTGTGCTGGGGATTGAACCTAGGGGTACTTTACCTCTGAGTTATATTTCCAGCCCTCCAGCCCTTTTTTACTTTGCGTCAGGGTCTCCCTAAGTCACTCAGGCTGGCCTCAAACTTGTGATCCTCTTGCCTAATCCTCCAGAGTCTCTGGGATTATAGGTGTGTACCATCATGCCCATCCATTTATAATTTATACATACTTTGTCTAGCTGATGAGTCTGTTAGTATGTGGAGAGACCAAAATCAAGGATTCAGCTACTATCTTTCTATGGAGGAAACTAGCTTTCTTCCTTTGGTAGTGACCACACAGGAGAGTGTAGTTGATTAGGTGGGGAAAAAATCCTACTTTTAGAAAAACAAATCAAGGCAGGCAGCCACTGAATAATGTATATGTAACACACAGAACTCAAGAACACTTAGAACAGCTCCCTTTCTAGTGAAGAAATTTTGCTTATCTTCAGTGCTTTATACATTGGAGAGAGCAGTAAATACAACTACTTTGCTTTAGTTAAAGATCTTAACTTCTGAATTCCAGTGTAAGACTAGGGAGCTATGAACTGCATACAATGAATCTTTATCACATTAACATTATTCCTGAAAACAAAAAAGTTGGAAGGGAGGCATAAAGTCAGTGTTGTATTTAAAGAAAAGGATTTGGGAATCAGGAACATGGGCAATTTCTTTCATAGAGATGGAGCCAAACAAACCAGGACCAATGGAATAAATGGAATAAAGCAAGCCTACACAGGCAGAGACAACATCACGAGAACAAACCTACCTTAGCTGCAAAATGAAGTGCTGTGAGGTGGGTTGTTCTTGCTCTTGTATCTACATCAACACCAAGATCAGACACCAGGAATCGGATGGCTTCGTCTTGCCCAGTGACTGCTGCCCTGTGCAGAGCCTGGGCCCCCAGGCTATCCTCAGCTGAAAAGCAAGCCTAGGAGACAGGAGGGAAGAGCAAAGGTAAGCAGCAGAGGAACCTGGGTCCATATACCTGATAACATCTGGCAGTACTTATTTACTTAGTTGTCTATGTTTCTCTGGGCAGAGGATACAGAGCTTTTGTCTGATTCTCAAAGGACTCTAACCATAACCAAAAAAAAAAAAAAAAAAAAAAAAAAGGTTAAGAGCCAGTGTTCCCATAAATACAGTTATCTCATATTAGACAAAGGCACCATAAATATACATTGGAGAAAACTATAGCCTGTTCAACAAATGTGTGCCAGGAAAACTGGAAATCCATATGTAGCAGAATGAAATTGAACCCGTATCTCTCACCCTGCACAAAACTCAATTCAAAGTGGATCAAAGACCTAGGTGTTAGACCAAGGACCTTCACCTATTAGAAGAAAAAGTAGGCTCAATTCTCCACCATATCAGCTCAGGAACTGACTTCCTCAGTAAGACTCCTAAAGATCATGAAGTAAAATCAAGAAATCAATAAATGGGATGGTATCAAACTAAAAACTTCTTCACAGCAAAGGAAACAAGAATGTGAAGAGAGCCCATAGAATGGGAGAAAATCTTTGCCACCTGCATCTCAGGTAGAGCATTAATTTCCAGGATGTATAAAGAAGTAAAAAAAACTCAACACCCAAAACCCAAATAATCCAATCAATAAATGGACAAAGAAACCAAATAGGTACCTCACAGAAGGAGAAACATGAATGGTCAAAAAAAATATGAAAAAATGTTTAACATCTCCAGCAATTAGAAAAATGTAAATTAAAACTATACCAAGATTCCATCTCACTCCAATCAGAATGGCAATTATCAAGAATACAATAAGGGGCTGGGGATGTGGCTCAAGCGGTAGCGAGCTCGCCTGGCATGCATGCGGCCCGGGTTCGAGCCTCAGCACCACATACAAACAAAGATGAGTCCGCCGAGAATTAAAAAATAAATATTAAAAAAAAAAAAAGAAAAAAAAAAAAAAAAAAAAGAATACAATAAATGTTGCAATGAATATTGGTGAGGATGTGGGGGAAAAGGTTCACTTACACATTGATGATAGACTTACAAATTGATGCAACCAGTATGGAAAGCAGTACAGAGTTCCCTTAGAAAACTTGGAATGGAACAATCATTTGACCCAGTTATCCCACTCCTTGGTACTCAAAGGACTTAAAATCTGTATTTTAAATGCAGCCACATCAATATTTATAGCAGTTCAATTCAAAATAGCCAAGTTATGAAACCAACCTAGGTGCCCTACAACAGATGAATGGATAAGAAAAATGTGGTATATATACACAATGGACTACTACTCAGCCATAAAGAAGAATGAAATTATGGTATTTGGCAGTAAATGGAAGGAACTGGAAAATATCATGCTAAGTGAAGTAAGTTAGTCCCAAAAAAACAAAGGCCAAATGTTCTCTCTGATATGTGGATGCTAACATACAGTAAGGGGGATGAGGGAATAATAGAAGTTCATTGGATTAGACAAAGGGGAATGAAGGAAAGGGAGTGGGGATGGGAATAGGAAAGATAATAGAGAGAAGTGGACATAACTTTCCTCTGTTCATATTTGAATACATAACAAGTGTAACTCCACATCACATATGACCACAAGAATGGGGTCCTAATTAGAATACGTTATACTCTGTGTGGGTAAAATGTGTCAAAATACACTCTACACTCATGTATATCTTTTTTTAAAAAAGCCTATGTTGCATGCTATAGTGTCAAAAGCAGTGTAAGAGTCAGTTTGTTACTATTATTACTATCAAAGACCTACTATTTATTGAATACTTAACTTGCTAACTGCTCAGTGTACATGATTATTTCATCCCTGTAGGAACCTCCTGAATAAATGGAATTTGTTCCCATATTATAGATGGGAACATGATATATTGATGCTTAAAGAGGCCAAGGGGTACCATGAGGGGAACTTGCCAGAGCTGGGATTTGAACCCAGAATCTAAATAATGATTCAGATTCTCATCCTATAATCTAAAATTTGTAGGAAGAACCACAGGAATATAACAAACCCATTTTTATACCTCATGCTTTTTGAGGAGCAGTCTGGCTATGTCGATGTGTCCACACTGAATTGCATCCATAAAGGGGGTGACACCACAGCTGTCTTTGCAGTCTGGTTCATACGGACACCTAGAGCCAAAACCCCAAATGACAGAGCTGAGAACAGTCACCACTTCAAACATAATGGGCAGTTGGTATTTGATCACCTGCAGGTATGCTATGTGCTTTACAACACCTGTGATGACCTGTGTGTTCTCATTCTTCTCCCCATCTCAGTATCTCAACTGAGCTCTGGACCTTCAGGAGCACATGTTGGTCTTCCCCAGAAAACATGCTCCTGTCCTAGCCTTCTCTGACCTATTCGATGGCACCATCTCCTCTCTAGTTTGAAGCCTGCATCTTTACTACTGCCTTTCCACTACCGCCATCCTTGTGGCTCCTTATCTCTTGTACCCAGTTACCCACATCTCTTAATTCTGAAGTCAAACTACTTTTAAAAATCTGTACCCTTCTCTCTGTCTCTGCTTTTACTCCTTAAGACTAAGTCAGTTGGCAAGAGCCTCCCAATGTTCTTGGCACCTTGACACCTGCCTTGCTATGCCATTCTCCATAGTAACCGTGGTCCTCCCTCCACAATGGAATGCACAAAGTCACTCCTGCTTAAACCACTCAACTGGTGCCCACTGCATAAAAGACAAGATCTCAAACCTCACAGGAACTCCAAGGGCCAGAAGCATGTGGCACCTGCTCATGTCTCCAGCTTCCCCCAACCCTGGGCTTGCCATGCTCCCTTCTGTTTCCTGGTCATCACGTTGTGGAGCCCTCTCCTGCCTCGGCATCCACTGGGCCTTCTGCTTGGAACATTATAGCTCTACTCCTCCCTTGGTCAACTCAAACTTTTCCTTCGAGTCTCATGTGAATGGAACTTCGCCAGAGGCCTTTCTTTACCACCCCCTAATCTACCCAAAGACTTGGGTTCTCTCCTAGTGTCCCATACTTTTCCTTTGTAGTATTACACTTTGTAATTCTATGACAATTATTTGTGGGATTATTCATTTATACTTGCTTCCATATTAGCCTACAGGTTCCACTAGAGGAAGGACAGTTTATCATTCAGAACCTAATACATGAAGATGCTTCAAAACGTTTCTTAAATGAATAAAAGAAGAAATACTTATAATCTGCAGATAACCAAGTATGTTCCCGTTAGGCAACTCCCCACCTCCCCCGCCTTTCTGGCAATGTAGGGTTAAGTGCATTTTAAGTGCTTTTCTCTAATGATATGCTACCTCAGGTCATCTCTTTCACTCTGGCCTCAATTATCATTTCTATATCTAGGAGTCCCACATTTCTATCTCTGTCCTTCTGTTTCTCTACCTCCTGCTTGAAGTTTTTGCTTGGATACTCTCAACATGTCTACAGGTGAAATTATCTTTTACCCAAATCCACTTCTCTGGTGTTCAATGTCTAAGAAAGTGGCACATGTACCACTACCCTGAAAGTCATCTAGACTTCCCATGGACACCTGAAAATCATCCTTGAAGCCTCTCCTTCTCCTTCATTCATGTATTTATTGTGGTGCTAGGGATTGGATCCAGGACCTTACACCTGCTAGGCAAGCAGGTAGTAGGCACTAAGGTAAGTCCCCAAGTCCTCCTTCATCCCCTTTGTTTTTCACCTAAACCTATGCAGTCTACTTCTTAGATATCTCCAGATGTTTTTCTTCATCCCTCATCATCTCCCCAGCCCAGCTACTATCATTTCTTTCTCATTTCACTGCACCAGTCTCCCAAATAGAAAGTGCTTTGGAAAGCACCTTCCTACCACCCCTTACCCCATTTTGTAAACAGAGGATTGAGGATCTTTGAAAATAGTTAATATCTTATTATCCCTTGACTCCAAACACTTCCATATTATTTCATGTGCTTTGAACAAAATCTAAACTTTCTAACATGGTCCACAGTGAGTATGCTCCCTTCACTGTTTAGGCTTCAGCACATCAGTTTCTCAAATGTCCTACAGTTTTTCCTGGCTCAGAGTATCCACAGATGCTGATACCTCCATCTGGATGTTTCCTTGCCTCCAAGTGGCAGCCAATGTCTATTCCTCCTTCAGGTGAGAAATTCAGTGTTTCTGGGTGCTGAGATCCCTACTTCTAGGCAAGTGAGCCTTCCTGTTATTTGCTCCCTTAGGGATCCTGCAGCTTCTTGCAATGCTAATCAAACTTACAGAGATTGTCAGTCTGTCTTCTTGACAGTCCCTGATTCCATGAAGGCAGAATTGTACCTGCCTTATATCTGTTGTAGCCCCTCTATTGATACAGAGCATACTTTATATTGGGCACTAAGTGAATATATGTATATTTGTTGAATAGAGAAACAGATGATTTTTCTCTCATCTGTTTGATAGCTATTTTGGTTTTACAGTCTAAGAGTTATCTACTATGTCCTGTGTTCATTTTTTGCAAGCTTAGTTTGTTTCTTAATCTGCTTGAACTTCTTATGTAAGACCAATATTAACTCCTTGTTAGAACTAACAAATATTTTCCTCCAATTTACTGTTTGCTCTTACCTCTCAAGAAGCACCTTTACTGCTTCTAAACAGCCATGCATTGCTGGGAGAAGAGAGTTGAGAATTAGAGATTTTTAGTGCATACATAAAATGCTTCTTGACTGGGGATGTAGCTCAGGGGTAAAGCCTTTGGCTAGCATACATGAGGCCCTGGGTTTGATCCCAAGCACTGCAAAATAAATAAATAAACAAATAAATAAATAGAAATAAATAAATTTCCCCTTATGGCTCTCCTCTCTGCCCCATTCTTTTTGTGTGTGTGTGTGTGTGTGTGTGTGTGTTTATGGGGATTGAACCCAGAGTGTGTGTGTGTGTGTTTATGGGGATTGAACCCAGAGCCCTGTGCATGAAAGGAAAGCACTCTACCAACTAAGCTATATCCCCAGCCCTCTGCCCCCATTCTTATCATTATGACTTATAGGAAGGAGCACCTAAATTGATTGTTATTGTCCTAGAAAAATAAAGCCAACTGGAAAAGCAGTATTTAAGTCAGCTTTTTCACATCTGTGATCAAAAGACCTGACAAGAACTATTTTAGAGGAGGATTAGTTTATCTGATGCTCACACTTGGCTCTGTGGTAGAGCACTTTCCTAGCAGGTAGTAGGTATTGATTCCATCCTCAGTCCACAGATAGCCAACTCTATTGCTCTGTGCCCGAGGTAAGGTAGAACATCATAGTGGAAGGGAGTGATTGCAGAATGCAGTTCAGGACATGATAATCAGGAAGCAGAATTCCACTCACCAGGGACAAAACACAAACCACCAAAGTCATGCACTCAATGACCCATCTCCTCCAACCATACCTATCTGCCTATAGTTACCACACAGTTAATCCCCATTAAGGAATTAATGCACTGATTAGGTTAAGGCTCTCGTAACCAATCATTTTACCTCTGAACTTTCTGGTCTCACACATGAGCTTCTAGTGGACACCTCATATCTAGACCATAACATGAAGTAAAGAAAAATGTTTTCATATTACAGGTATATAACCAATACTTGATTATCATGTCACAGGTATTGATTTTAGAGAAACTAAAAGGTCTGTATCCTAATTCAATGTATTCTCTGGAAAGCTAAAGGTTATCTTTCAAATTTCTTGTTCTAGACTCTTGAGTCCTTTACTTTATTTTAAAGACAGAGTCTTGCTAAGTTGCTTAGTTGTCACTAAGTTGCTGAGGCTGATCTTGAACTTGCGATCATCCTGCCTCAGCCTCTTGAGACAGTGGGATTAGAGGTGTATGCCACTGTGCCTGGTCCCTTAATATCCTTTTATGTCACAGTAATTTTGCTTTTTCCTAACATTATGGTGTTACTAAGGATCTGAAGATAGTCTTTTTTCCACTTGTCTCAGTAACAATATGAAATGAAAAAAGAAAAAATAGCAGCAGCTAGTTATTCTGTGCTCATTATGCGTAGAGGATTATACTAAAGGATTTACATAATCATGCTCTTAAACCCTACAACCCTGATACATAGACATAATTAGCATCATTATTTTGCTGATGACGAAACTTGTCCAAGAGACAGACTAAGGTCTCTGCCCTAGGTCAAAGACTCTGTAAGAAACAGAACCAGCTTACTTACCTTACTTGCCATCTAACTAACTAGGGAGCTAACCTTACTTACCTTACTTGCCATCTAACTAACTAGGGATAGATACACAAGGTAAAGTGAATTAACACAAGAAGGGCTTGCTAGTCAAGTTATATTAGCTTTGGAACCTTTACCCACATCTGGGGGAGTGGTGGCACATACCTGTAATCCCAACAACTTGAGAGGCTGAGGCAGGAGGATCACAAGTTCAAGACCACGCTCTGTAACTTAGTGGGCTCCTAAGCAACTTAGTGAGACCTTACCTCAAAAATAAAAAAATAAATAAAAATAAAGTGGGCTGAGGGATATATGTCCGTTATAAAGTGCCTCTGGGTTCAATCCCCAGTACCAAAACAGAAACGAAAAACAGAACAAAACTATAATGTTCACATCCTTGACCTCTATTTTCTCAAATCGTCCATTCCTCTGTGGGTGACTTGCACAAGATGCTGGGCAGTGCTGGCTGAAACAGACTGCACACGTGGGCCTGCATGCCTACAGAGCTGTAGACTGTACCTGCAGTGTGCAGAGGAGTTCTTCTAATTTTGCTCTCTGTCTTCCATGCATCTGGGCAAACAGTGAGCAGATACTGAAGGATCAGAGGGTCACCTTCTCTACTGGCAATATGAAAACTGTTCCAACCATCTTTGTTCTTCAGGAGTGGATTGGCTCCGTGTTCTACAAGGTCCTGGATCACCTCAAGATTCTTCCTTGTGCAAGCCATCATCAGAGGAGTCCTAAGGCCAACCAGGATAAGCTGTCAAATGAAGGCAGCTGAGACATTAGCAGAAGGGACCAGGTCTTTGGGAAGGGCACATCCTTGGCACAGATGGAAAACTTTCTTACAGAATTCAGGGGACTGGAAAATAGTTTTGACTGGCAACTTGCCTGCTGTGAGAAGCCTGGGAGAAATAACAAAAGGGAAAAGATGGTGATTAATGGAAACCTACAGCAGGGAGGTACCTGAGAGGCCAAACTGTTTATGAGCCAGGATAGAATCAATTATAACAGAGCTAATAAAAGCCATAGATGATCCTCAAACATAACTAGGTCTTCTTTTTCACCACAGTGGGGAAGATGTACTTAACTATATGGCTCTCTTCCTGCGGCAGCAGTGGTGGTTTTGCAGTGCTGGGGATGGAATCAGTGCCTACTACCTGCTAGGAAACTGCTCTGCCATAGAGCCACACCCCTAACCCTCTTTTATTTATTTAAATCAGATCAGGAATCACTTGAAGGTAGGAACTTCATCGTGTTGTAAGCCTTAGGTTCTTTGATTTGAAAAAAATCTGATGCAGCAAGCACTAAAAATAATGTCAATCAAACAAAATGGGATTTATTTATGTGATGGTAGTGTACCTTGACAGTGGTGGTTATGCAAAGCTAGACTTGGTAACATCACATAGGTTCTACTCACACCGCAAGTGTAACTGATGAAGTTTGACTATAATGATTGTAATAATGTCAAAACAATGTAACTGGGGTAGTAATCTAGCTAGACGAAGTGCTAGAACTTTATACCTGGAGCTAGGAGCACTGCACACAATTCACTGTTTGATTATATTTCATACTGTCTCACAAAGGGAAGTTATTGTCCTCCTCTGTTAACCCCAGGAGGGCAGGAAGGTTGTGGCAGGACGACCTTGCTGCTGAGCAGGTCTCTAGGATGAGAACTAGAAGCTGAGAAAAGCTATCTTGTCAAGGGGACAGACTTAATAAGTACCCGAAAATCTGATTCTGCCATAAGTGATAAGGCGAAATGGTTTTCTGGATCCCGGCCACCTACCAGTCGGCTTTCTTCAGGCTATCCACAGCTGCCCCTCGGGCCAGCAGGTAGCGCACGCAGTCCCGGTGGCCCATGGAGGCAGCCTCGTGTAGAGGCCTCTTGTAGTCTCGGTTCGCGGCCTCAATGTCCATGCCCCAGGCTTCGGCCAAATAGGCTAGGATGTCCAGGCGCCCGTGACGGGCTGCACAGTGGAGGAGGGTGTCCCCGGCCGGTCCTTGGTAGCCTCTAGCCTCCTGCAGCTCCGCCTGCAGGGCAAGCAGCTGGCCCTCTTGCACCAGCCTGCAAAGTCGCCGCGGATCCCCGGGCCCGGCCATCACCGTTGGCCTGGGACGAGTGGGAGGGACCCCGAGCACCAGTCTTCCTCAGCTGGGGCCCCACTACCGTAGGCTGGGCGAAACTGAGAAGTGACAAGAGATTCCACTTTCTGATCGCAACCTTCCTCCGCGACGAGGTGCCGGTGCCGAGGCCCGGCCCGATTGGGCAACGAGAGAGCAGCCGCCCCCAACACCCTCAAGCCACTTGTTCTGGATGTGGGGAGGAGCCGCGATTTCCAGTATAGGGTGGTGACTCCTCAAGGGGACAGAACAGTCGGCGGTGAGCACGCATGTGGGCCACTCTAGTTGGCGCGTTCCAGACGCGCGCAGTAGTCTAGGCGGAGCCCTTGGCAACAACAACCCAAGCAGCTCGGTACGAGGGTGCATCTGTTGTTCTGGAGCTTCCCCTTGCACGGAAGTGATTGCAGGCCGAAAAGGTCAGGATGTGGGGTGTGGTGCTCTACCGCCTAGCCGTGAAGCGCTACAGAGAAACACGAGCGGCCTGACCCCGACCCTGAACTCTGCCGAGACAGGGGTAGCTCCGGAGGAAGCCGGGCCGGACCGTGACCTGCTTTCACCGGCCGAGCCCATGCGGCTCTTTTTCCCGCAGCCTGTCCGGCTCACGTCTGCTGTAGGGATGAGTGCGGGGCTGCGGTGCGCTGGGCCTCCCACTGCCGAGGTCTGACGCCTACGGGTGGTGTTCCAGTACTCTTCCCACTCCTCACCCAATCAGCAGCGGTACTTGGCTACCTCCCCGCCGCTACAGCTGTAGCTCCCGCGGGAACCCAGGCAGCTCGAAGGAACTCTGGGAAAGTTTCCTCTAGCCTCTCCGCGCAAGCGGAAGCACGGACAGGGCGTGGCTCGCTGGCTGAGGCCGCGTCCTTTACATTCGTGAGTTTCTATTGGTCACTGGGGCCATCCGTCAGCCTGTTCCTCCGGTTGCGAGTCTCTATTGGTTCTTGGGGCAGTCCGTCAGCTCCGGCGGCGGGTGCTTCCCTGGGCTGAGACGGGGCGGAGCTCGCGGAGGAAGTCGGCGGCCGTCTCAGCTTGCTGTCTGGGACGGAGGAGGAGCTTGCTGCGGGGGACGCTGGGCTGGGCGGCCAGCGGCGCGGGCCCGGAGGCAGCATTAGCGAGGGCCCGGGTCCGGAGTGCCATAGTGCGTGAGACCATAGACATGGCAGGGATTCTAGGCGGGGATCCGTCTCGTGGAAACTTAACCTATGGGGCTTTGCCCGGGGGTCCCGGCCTCGGGGGTGGGGCCCTAAGTCAGAGGGCGGCGCGGGGCGGGGTTGGCGGAGGGTAAGTGTAGTGTCTCCCGGCAGGTGCGGGCGTGGCGATGTGCGCACGGGGGAGGCCCGGGCGCCCGGTGAGCTCGGGGCCAGGTCCCCGCCCCCACGCTGCTCACTGAGGCCCTGGAAGGGGCAGCTCGTCGTTTCTCTGGGGCTGGTGGAGGAGGTACGGGGACGTGGCCTCGGTTGCTGGCTCATCTACTCTGATGTTTTGACCTTGGGCAAGTCATTTTCTGCTACTCTGTTGCTTCTCTTTCCCTCCCCCTTACCTGGATATAATAAGATTAAGGTAATGTGGGCAGGCCTTGGGCTTTGGAAGGATTCGTTGAGATTTGAGTCATCTGTACAAGGGGTGATGGAAGAGCTTAGGTTAGATATATGTTCCTTACCTGACCTTAGGAAGAACTAGTCATTTAACCTCCTGGTGTTTTCAGTTTCTTTAGGGGGAAAAAGGGGTGTCGCTATTAGATGTTAGATTTAAGAACAGTTACTCTTTCCGTTTTGGTATTGCACTCTGATTTACAAAACACCTGACATTAGTTTTCTAACCCACGAACATCATTCTGGTTTCACAGGTGGGGAAATTGAGGCCTAATGAAATTAGTGATTTTAACAAGGTATGAATGATAAAGTCTTCTAGAAGGAAGAATAGCACCAACTGTTGCGTGTGCAAGTGCCAGATACTGCTAAAATAAAATGAAAACTCAACTGTGTGATCATGACAATAACCTCCCTACTAATAAGTGTATTCAACTTGGTCTATTTCCTGAATTGTATGGTTACTGGAGATAGAACGGGGTCAAGTTTGTCAAAGTTTATTGACGCTTATCCCTTCTCCAAAGTGGGATGGGGTTACAAGATGATCATATACCAGTGCTTTTAAGTGCAAAAAGTTTTAAAACATGCCATGCGATGTGTTTACTGTAGCTGTTAGAGTCAGTGCAGATTTGAAATTGAGATGTCTGGTAAATTTTTGCTGCTAGTGCTTCTCTCCACCCCATTCTCCTATCCTAATTACAGATAACCCCACCTTCTCTTGCCTTTTGTCTCCAGTTTCCCTGTTTTTCTTCTTCTTCTTCTTCTTTTTTTTTTTTTGAAACAGGGTCTAGCCATGTTGCCCAAGGCTCAAGTGATCTTCTCGCTTCACCCTCCTGAGGAGCCGGAACTACTGATGTGTGCTATCATGTCTGACTCAGTTTCCCTATTTTAAAATTGAGGCACATGGTTCACAATAAGGTGGAATAATTGAATCCAGGATAATTATTTTTTTTTCTTGTTTTTTGGTACTGGGGATTGAACTCAGGGACATGCAACCACTGAGTCACATCCCCAGTCCTTTTTGTATTTATTAGATATAGGATCTCACTGAGTTGCTTAGCACCTCACTTTTGCTGAGTCTGCCTTTGAACTTGGGATTCTCCTGCCTTTTCTGAGCTGCTGGCATTACAGGCGTGTGCCACTGGCCTGGCAATAATTAATTATTTAATTGGTATTCCAAATTTGATTCTGTCTATCCTGTCTGCTTTATGAACTTAACTTTGGTCTCTTGACTCCCTTTGAGTAACTAGATGATGAAGTATGTGAATCTGTGCCATAGTGTGTGATTTTTCTGGAGCAAAAGCCTGATCTGGAGGGTGTGTGTGTATGTTTGTGAGGTCTATGCAGTAAACTTTTAAACCCAATTATTTCTGGGTTCTAGCTGATTTTTTTTTTTTTTTCTTATTAGGTTGCCCATTTCTTTTGTGCAAACTTGGAGTTTGTGGTATGCCCTTTACTGTCTCACTTATGTAATTGTCATTGGTGTTGTGATTAGCTACTTGACTGTTTTTCCTTTTTCTTGCGCTGTATTGGATGGATATATAGCACTGAACTGTGGTCACTGGAGTACTGATGATTTGATATGTTGCTGATTTGTAAGTACACCAAACTGTTAGACTTCAAATTCTAATTTCAACTTTGTTTCATTATCTTTTTTTTTCTGCTTATCATTTCTCTCCTTTCTAGGCTGATTTTTTATTTGGGAACTGAATATGAATTCTGTCTTTGCTCTTCTGGCTGTGAAGTTACCTAACTCCTGGAAAATTAGCTATCATAACATCACAAGTCTTTTATCTTCATTGACTGTTCACATGCTTTTGAGGACCAGTCTCAGTCAAAGTATCTTTTGGAGCTTAACCTGTATTCTACAGATACTTTTTTTTTTTTTTTTTGTACCAGGGATTGAACCCAGGGGCACTTAACCTCTGAGCAGTATCCCAGCGCTTTTTTTGTATTTAATTTAGAGACAGGGCTGAGTTCCTTAGGGTCTTGCTAATAAGTTGCTTGAGGCTGACTTTGAACTTGCCATTCTCCTGCCTCAGCCTCCCAAGCCACTGGGATTATAGGCTTGTGCCACTGCACCCAGCCCACAGATACTTTAAAATAAAACAAAAAATTATTTGCGAAACTGGAGCTTTAGATCTCCCTTCACTACAGGAAAATACAAAACATAAACCTATTTCTCCTTTTACTCTTTAATATGGTTAATGAATCATTTTTCTTAATGTTCTCTTCATCTTGTTAAAAAAACCCTTATTGATATTCATCTGTCCTCAGCTTAATTTCTGTTGCTCTTAGGCTTTGCCAACTCTCACATTGGTTGGTAGAGTGACTTTCTGACTAGTTTTCCTGACAGTCTTCATGTCTGTCTAAATTTGATTGTGTAATGATCCTGCTTTAAAATAGCATGACACCCTGAATTGCCTCCATGATAAAGGATAGTTTCTTTAGCAGGGTGTTAACAGACCTTCATAGTCTGGCTCCAGATGCATTTTTCAGTCTTATTTCCCATTAGTGTACCTCTTGTTCTGACAAAACCCACCTTTTCTGTCACAACAGTGCTTTACTGTGCCTCTATGTTCTTGCACTTTTTTTTTTTTTGGTGGTGCTGAGGATTGAACCCAGGGCCTTGTGCATGTAAGGTTGAGCTGCATCCCTAGCCTGCACATATTGTTTCTTCAGCCTAACTGAATCCCATTCATCTTTAAGGCTCAACTCTTTGTAAAACCTTTCCCAACTTTTCTAACTCTGTTTACTACGATAACACTTGTTTATGTAACATATTGCTTTATGTTTAGTAATTTGTGTTTTGGTAGTTGCCTTATGGTCTGACTTATTCATTTTTATATGATTAATGTCTGAAATAACATTTAACATCAAGGATACCATAAGGAAAGTCTTCATGGAGTTTATAATGAAACTGGGACATAGTAGATACGTAAAAGTAGTTGAAGAATAAATTGATAGTAGAAAAGGACTTTCAAATATATAAGGATATATTTTAGACAGTAAATAGAGATCATCTTGTTTTTCCTTTCTTTTGTCATTCCATTCCTTGTGAGGAATGTAGACGGAGAACAGCCCAACCCATCCTATTTCAAGGGAGCAGGAAGTATTTCAGAGTGTGAGATGATTCAGGGAAGAGTGAGCCTACTGACTTGGGCCTTTGAGTGTAAAAAGAAGCAGGATGTAGTGGCTGGAAGAGACCTGGCTTTGTGTCAAGAGAAATGTATCAGGCAGTGGAGCTAGGGCTGTATGTTCTCTTTCTGTGTTTGTTTCTTTTAGAATTAGCGGGAGATATTTTGAAGCTTTTCCATTTGAGTATACAGTAGAAGTGATATTTTTCTTGCATAGTGTTTTCTGCATTATCTATTTGTTATTAAATTTCTTTGGTTGGGACATTTCACAATGATTAAAAGAGTGATATAGGAATTAAATATGAGTGTTTTGAAGCTGCTTTAAAGCTTTCTGGACACAGAAGGGTGAACATTACAGTAGGAGGCACACTATCCTGGAGAGCCACAAGACCTAAGTTCTTGATGATAATCTTCTCTCAGCCCCAGTATAACTGTGGCACAATCATGGAATTGCTGTGGAGATAAAATAAGAATATAGGAATAATTTGCAGTAGCTATAAGAATATAGGAATAATCTGCAGTAGCTATAGATTATTCCTATAAATAAGAATATAGGAATAATCTGCAGTAGTACTTAAGTAATCTCAGTTACTTAAGATCATTTAAAATTCAAAAGCCAGGGAAGACAAACTCAACTTTAAAAGGAAGCCCTATAGTTTTGTAGTTGTCCATTTAAACAGCAGTTATTTATGAAGCAGTATGTATTGGGCACTGGTAATGAGTAAGTTCCTTGCTGTTTATGTTAGAACATAGAGCTCTTAGCCTATGAGTGGAAGACATATTAAATATTTTCCTAGATAAGTAATTGCTATTAATATAATAATAATACCATCAATGCAATGAAGATATATTAAAATTATAATTTGTATAAGGCACACATTAAATACTTAATGCAAGAATTGTTACAAATGTCTCAGAAGGACAGGGAGGTTTTATTAATGCCAAGTGCTTCTTGGCTTCAGTGAGTACTTTAATTACAGTGCTGGAAATAAGGATAACACACATTTACTTGTGTTTAAGTTTGGTTCATGGTTTTACAGTCTGCAGTCAGACCTGTTAAGCACCAGAATCTTACCATTATAATAATGGGCTATGTCGCAGGGC